GCAGAAGAAAGAATCCAAGGTGCTTTGTATAAGCAAATACTTATCTGGGAAGAGCAGACGTGGTCTGTGCTTCTGAACGATGTGTCCTTGTTTCTTTAAAGACGCATGTTAGAAGTTAAGGGCCAATGCAGTAAACAACTATGTTTCATTCCCTTGGCTGATGATGCAGGGTCTTTATGAAACATGTAAGCTGCATGTAAACTCACTCACTGAACAACGGCACAAAATAAGTTAGAGAAATGCATGCCGAAAGCAGGGAAGCGTGCTTTCACACCAGCCCTAACCCATGGCCATCCAGGCTAACACCTCGTCTCTGGTGCCAGTCACTTTTGCATAATTTGGAGGAAGAGATAAGAAATTTGGTTTTAAAAAGACTGATGGCTGAGTAAGCCTATCCCCACTCTGTTAAAGCTCTTTCTGGTCCCTAACACTTGGAGACTGGCTCAAAACTTGAGGAAATTTACCACTGCTTACAAATTTTATGCTAGCATTGAATATTGTAAAACCTCATTTTCTCATAATCTACAAACGTACGGTCGTTTGTTGAATATTGCTGACTTTATTTTTTGCCCTAGTGCCTCCCGTAACACCTGGTTCAGCGGCTTGTGCTTAATGAGAAAATATTTTGTACCTCAATTTTTGAAAAGTTCCACATTTTAATCTTATTGATTTGTTTTCCTTTTTGTGTTCTGAGGCAGAGGAAGAAGATCTCAGTCTCCAATTATTTTATCACGTTCAGCTTGTCTCCTAGTAATCATCTCCTTTGTAAAATGGAGAATCTGCTTGATATCTTGAGGGTTTATCCAGGCGCCATCTCATTTTCATCACCCTCTCTGATTTCCCCCTTTTTCCACTGTACCCTCTTCTGCGTTGGAGAGACCACTGCTGCACACATCGGTATATGTTACACCTAAAGATTTATCATGGCACTAGAGTATCCTCTGCAGATGTCTGGAAGGGACCTCCTGATCATCCAGTCTCATTGTCATTGCAGACAAGCAAATCATATAATCTGTTATATAAACCCATCTAGCTTCATTTAAAAGAAATTAGATTTGGTTTTTCTCCTGCCACTCGTTAGACGGCTGTTCCAGTGTTTTGCTACTCTGGCTGCAGAGGCCACTTCATACCCACTTGTCCTCGTGTCCGTTGGCCTTTAGTTTTAACTAAGCTTTCCCAACCTTCTCTTTCCCCAAACCTCACTTTGTTTAGTCAAACTGAAATCACTAAGCGTTTTTATCCTCTGCTGAAACAGGCTGTCCCCGTCTTGAACTTCATAGGAGCTTTTGTCCATACTTGTTCTGCTTTGATTTACTCTTTCTTGAAACCGGTGACAAAATCGCACGTCGTATTTCAGATCTTTTCTGAAATTACTTGTCTGACATAACTGGGTTTACATTTGCCTGTTTGCATAGCTCCCACTCCTCCTGTGATTAACAAGTCTTTCTTTTGCAAGTGCTGATCTCATGGTTGACAGAAGAAATTTTTGTGATTAATCTCTACAAGTCATTAATATTACCAAATTTAATTATGTTTTCATTAATCCAGTCCTAAGAGGCACCCAGCTTTTTCAATATACTATTCCCATCCTTGTTTGAGCTAATGATGACTCCCAGCTCTGCCAACAGCAGATTTCATTAGCATGTTCATGCTCTTGATGGCACCATTATAATGAAGATATTAAGGCAGACACGAGCCTTGATGAATCCCACGGAGTAACTTTCCTCCAGTCTGACATCTTCCCTCCCAACACACCCCTCTGTCATCGTCTCCTGAACCCCTCAGCTTCATGTTTAAACAACCATTTCCTCTTTGGACAGTGTCATTACTGAACCTAAATAGTAAAGGTCTATCACATTTTCTTTCATTAAAGAAAAGGGGGAAAAATTGCATTGGGGAAAGATATCCATGCTGAAGTAACATTTCATGCAATCCCATGTTTCATTATTTCCAATTTCCAATTCCAAATTATTGAAACTATTTGTGAATCCCTTCCCCTCCCTTTCTTGAGTATAGGTATTCCAGAGTGATTTGAGAGCTACACTAAAATTTCTTGTGACCACCCTGCAACCTTCACATGCTTGTTCTGTCAGCACTGCGGCCAAGATACTTTGCTTTCCCCGGTTCAGTAATTTCCTATGACTTTCTTCCCGTTACCCGCCCTCCGTTTGGTCCCATCTTTCACATAATCACCTCTTTTAAAAATGGAGGCAAAACGCTCATTGGTTTTGAAAATATAGCCAGACCTCCTTTAATCTGTACTCCCGTCTCACTGCATGGCAACCCTGTTTCTTTTCTCCCCAGCTGAAAAAACTGCTTCTGGTTTCCTATTCCTTTTCTCCTGCAATTCCTCATCTTGAAGACAGAACTTTCTGAGGTGAGCGAGCCTCCTCACCATTACTTCTAGGCTTGCTATTTCCAGTGACCTCATTTACCAAGCTGTCAGGAGATCTTTCGTAAAACCTTTCGCCTTCGCTTAAGGTAAATGTCTGGCTCATTTTTGCTGCTCTGGCATAAAGAAATCCAGTGTTTCCCTTTTTTCCAAGTCCTTCACCCTGTTGTTTTTTTCTAATTAGGTCTCTTACTCTTTTCCTGTTTGACTTAGAATGCCTTTCTATAAACCTGCTTTTTTATTCATCCATTTACTGTAAACTGCATTGACTTACAATCTAGCAAATGATTTTTTCCTACGATCTTAATGGCCTCACAATATATTCACTACTTAAAAATCTAAAATTACACCCCCCTCTTCTTGTTTCAGTGACTGCCAAAGGAATCTGCTTCTCTATTGTATGCAGCCCTTCTCAGGCCCAATCGTTATTCATAGCATCATCTATTCTCCCTTTTTTATCTGGGAAAGGAGAGCTGCTCAGTAAGCATTATATGCTAGATATCTTTATCCATATGCAAGCGTAACCTTGCAGCTTATAGAAAGCTCTTTTCGAATGCTTGTTTGTTCTGGTGGTGACTCCAGTGCCAGCGACTCTCAGTTTTGCCACAGGCTCTCTTTTAACAACTTTCCTTGCTGTCGTTTTGATCCAAACACTTTGGGTCTATTCCTTCTTCTTTTTACATAATTCAGCATTCAGTGTTACACCGTGACCTTTACTGTGAGGTGTCTCTTTTCCTGAGTATGGTGTGGCACCTTCAGTTTAATGATTTCATCCTGCTCTGTTATTTCCCTAATAGTAAGCCCTGTTTCATGCGCTGGCAGGTTTTATTCCTCCGTGTTGCTGTTCAGGCTCCTTGCTTATGCAGGCAAGTGTTTCAAATGTCTTACACTGACCACTCTGCTCCCAGGCTGGTAAAAGCCTCCGTTTCCTACCCATCTGTCATTTACATTTCCCCTCCCTGGCTGTCATCTTCTCTCTTTAGCTGGTGTCATATCCACGTTTTACTTGACTTTTTTTTTCCATTTCTGTGTATTAAAACCAGAGCTGAGATTGCATAGACTTCTCCCAACTTTATTCCTGAAGTTCTTAGTTTCAATTCTTTTCTTACCGGTTGCCTCAAGTCTGATTTCAGAGAGGTCCTGCTCTGGGTGGTATCTGAAAGTGCTATATAATCCCTAGTCTGGGTCAAGGCAGGCATGGGAGGGAAAGGAAAGCTTTTCAGAGGAGGGTGCGTGTGTATGCAGGCATACAGAAATCAACCCCTACCTCTATGCGGAAGCAGAATTTATGTACTCTAGGAAAGGTCAAAATCAGGAAGATGACTGAGACCTAGTGTGATGTTGCTTATGTCTATGTGGTGGGACTTAAGAGGCATAAATCCAAATCCAACATCCTCAGAAATGCTTGGTCACTTGCCAGGGAGTGGTAGAAGTGCTGGATGCCCCCTGAATACCTGAGATTTCACACACTTTTTTTTTGGGCTTCTGATGATGCCCAGAAATGCCTCATTTTTGACAGCCTTCAGCTGCTCGTGCAGATTCATAGCTACGCTTGGTGCCTCCCCAGTCCGGCACTCCGCTCTCCAAGGAAGCGGCTGGGTGCAAACTGGTTAATCCCATCCACCTGGCACTGCCAGCTGGCAGGACAGCTCTGCTCGCTCGATGCCAGGGCCGGGGCAAACCCAACCTTTGCTGCTCGCCTTCAGGCCCAAAGGTGGCCTAGACTGACGGCCACACGGCTGCACGCTGGGCAGCTGTGGCTGCTTCCCGCAGGACTGGCATTACTGCCCGCACAGCACGCAGGTGGCCACTGAGCGGCTGCTGGCAAAAAAAAAAAAAAGAAAAAAAAGAAAAAAGAAAAAAAAGAAAAAA